ATGCATGGGCCCAACATTGACCCGAGCATCTTTTTCTTCAAAAAGGCGAACATAATTCTATCCGTATATTACAGCTAGAGATGTTGAAGTTGCGGCAAGTAGAGCGCGGCGCGTACTGATGACAGAACAAACCTTGTTCTGCGCTTAGTGAAATCGCACGAGAAAAATATGGACAAAATATTTAAGGAAAGAAGCCGGTGCTGGCACTTATGTGAGGTAAGAAATAAGAAATGAACTAAGTAGAAGACGACCGCGATATTTGCCTCAAAAAGGTGCATAAAACTAAAAGGCTGGCATTTCTGGGGTGTTAAATTCTATATTTGCAAAAGAAATGTCTCATCACACAAAAGCAATTCGTTGAAACAGTGATCTTCACTGCAGGTCCACCCTTGACTGACATCTCGCGAAAACTTATCGCAAAACGACAATGACAGATCTGCGTATTTTCCTACAGTTCGGTGATGGCGATATCAATCGAAGAAATGATCTCGTCGAGCTCTCGCTCGGGGTTGCTTTGTCCCCCGAAGGAATACCAGGACTTGTACTACTTGACGCGAACAGGATCGAGGTCGACCAAGCACCGCGCCACCTGCGGGAACTGTAGATCCAGCACAACATGGCATACCCAGATGGTCGTCGGCCCAGTGCGTATCAAAGCGTGGCTAGCGGCAGTGGTCAAAAAGATAGTGGCGCATAAGTTCTAGCGAGAAGACGAACGTCGGCGGCACTATTTGTTCCTGGCTGAAATTTATCAGCAGTGTAGCCTACTGATGTGTCATCTAACGTTGTTGTAGAATGGACTGCACAAAAATAAAATAAGCTGCGCGCTGCGCTTGCGCGCACGACCCTGAATCAAAATCTTTTGCAATAGCGCTTTAAAATCAAAGTGATGATAAAGTTCTTCCTAGTTGTTGAAGGCTAATGGTCTTTTGTCGAAACCTTTCCCCTGTGCCCCGGCCTTGATGATAGAAGCAAGAACTGGCTTCCTCAGAGTTGCGGTAAAAAAAATTGTATATGAACGATCACGACAGGACACGACCAAAGAATAAGGCATTCTGCGGTAAAAAATCGTATAGAAAAAGCAGTGTGTAAGTGCATGTGAAATATCCTAGCTTCGACCATATCTTTTCCGGAAAGATAAGGCCGCCAAACAGAGGTCATTAGCAGCAGCAGACATCACAAGTGATATCATGGCGCAGCAGGAGCTGGATCTCTATTCAGTCTGACCACGCCGAACTGCATAAGAATGTTATGCTGTCAAAGTCCAAAAGTTCGGCGCACCAAAAAAGGTACCAATGTCAGGTGGACCGCCTTACCCCTGAGACGAGAAAGGGTCGTTGCTGCTGTGCTGACAAATCTGCAGCTTGCATTCCCAATTTTTCTTCGGCTTGCAGCGAATATGCGTCATGACCGTCGGCGACTCTACGATGACAAAATGGACTTCCTCGGCGGTAACGTTCAGGAGATCCCGTATGGAAGCGTCAGGTTTGAAATCGACAAAGTTGAAATGATTTGTCATGCATAAAATGCAAGGCATGACGTACCTGTCTTGCAGGGATGGCAAATGAGGCCGACAGTCAGCCTGTTTGAGGTCTGCGGTAGGGCTGGTAAAGTAGCACGACAAAAGACGCCTTCTGTCCCTAAACAGCATGACAGACCGGATTTCGACGGTGCCTAAATTTGTCATGCGCCGCTTGAAAATTGGGCTTCCAACTGGTATCGATTTTATGCATGACAAACTATTTCAACTTTGACGATCTCAATCCTGACACCCCCATATCCCGTGTGGCGTCGAAGTCCGTAGTGTAACGCAGGGTATCGGAGCCACTGCTCTATCAATATGAAAAAACCCCCACCCCATTCAAAAAAGGAAATATGAAAAAACCCCCACCCCATGCTGGATTTCTGTACACAAATCAGCTGTGTATAATTGCGGCAAGAGCGTGAAGGCATAATTTTTCAAGCCTGATTGAGTATGCAAAAGGCTAGCAGCTCGGCATGACAGACAGGTGCGCGGTAGGTAAAAGCGCATGACAGATTTGCTGTCGAGTGCGGGATACGGCTCCCATTTGATGCCTCATATGCAAGACGAAGCTGATTTGTGGTCACAAATCAGCATCACAAATTTCCGTTTTGAGTAGTATGGGGAGGGGGGATTTTTTCTCAGAATATGCTCGAGGTAGAATGAACTCCACCGTCGCTGTAGGCGTACCGCCCCTGAAATTTTTTCTTGTGCCATATGCATCGCAAAAATGTCTGGGTCTGGAAGGTGGATCCAAACTTGTAATGCTGTCTTTGGATTCTCAAAAGATCTGTAGTGCTATGACCAGGAAGAGGAGCCCAGATTGTGCTACGCGGAGAGGGCATTTGCCATGCGGAATAGGCATTAGGATGCCTTCCAAAAATCTGTGATGCTAAGTCATGCACTACAGGCATCATGCGTCATGCAAAATATGCATGACAAACCTGGCAATCTTCCACACCCAGACATAGTTGCATTTGATATGCCGCAACGTGATGCGATCGCCCGTCCGGCGGCTGCGACCACGAACAAGAACGTCGGGGTCATAATCGGGGTTCGAAACAAACAACCTCGGGTAGTACGCACTTGGATTATCCTCTCGCACGACTTGCTCCAGAAAGCGGGCCCGGGAGGTTGCGCTCATGTCTGGCCCATGTAATCCGTCATCTGCCCATACGTCGTTGTGCACAGCAATGAAGGACTCGCCCTGCGCACTCAGGCTGCCACCGTGTGGAAGGGTGATTCCAGCAGCGCTTGTCGGGGGGCTTTCGNAGAGCGCGGCGCGTACTGATGACAGAACAAACCTTGTTCTGCGCTTAGTGAAATCGCACGAGAAAAATATGGACAAAATATTTAAGGAAAGAAGCTGGTGCTGGCACCTATGTGAGGTGAGAAAGAAATGAACTAAGTAGTAGACGACCGCGATTTTTGCCTTCAAAAGGTTGATAAAACTAAAAGGCTGGCATTTCTGGGCTGTTAAATTCTTATTTTCAAAAGAAATGTCTCATCACACAAAAGCAATTCGCTGAAACAGTGATCTTCACTGCAGGTCCACCCTTGACTGACATCTCGCGAAAACTTATCGCAAAACGACAATGACAGATCTGCGTATTTGTCCTGCAGTTTGGTGATGGCGGTATCAATCGAAGAAATGATCTCATCGAGCCTTCGCTCGGGGTTGCTTTGAACTCAGAGTGCCACGGCTTGATGTACTTGGCACGACAACAAAAACACCTGCTTGCTGTTCCTTCAGAACACTCGAAGATTTCCGAGATTCGAAAGAACGTTTTGCGCATTGATGTATTCCCAAAAGACTGTTCAGCTGAGTTGGAAAATTCAGTTTGTGTTGCATTTTCAGCATGAGAAGGAAAAGTCTCTTTCTTCCTTTCCTCACTTTTTCTTGCCAAAAAACAACTCATCAGGAAAAAACTCAAAAGACGTTTATCTTGATTCTTCACACGGAATCAATAACTTACTGTGGCTACACACCGCTATATTCTAAAAAAGAGAAAAGCTGATGTGTATTTACTTCGGTTTTTCACTTCTAAATTTTAATTTTTGTATAGGATCATGATGGTATTTTTAGAATTTTCCCTTGGCACAAATATGAAAGAACGATCTTATCATGCTGTTTCGAAACGTAAAATTGTAGTACAGAAGATTTCTACTAACGGTTGATAGCTGATTTGAGACCACTTTTCATGGTCTACATTGGCTCAAACAGTGGTCAGGTCGGTGTAAAAACAAAAAAATTATACAGTGACTAGGTGGTAGCACTTGCAAGTGTAAATTTGTGGCCTTGAATGACAGTTGATCTCATTTTTCTATCATCAATTTGTAACGCTGTTTTGTCACTTAAGTAACCGTTTGATGTACGTGCACCGTAAGTAACCCGTTTGATGTTCCGGAGAAAAATTGCAGCGACATTCACCGCCGCTGTTGCGCAACCGGTCTTGGCCCAGAGAGCACGAAACCAACGTTACGCCAACCCGGACCGGGGTCGTCCTCGAGCGGACCCCAAAAACTTCCCCGCGCCACGTACTTGAGCTCAAATTCCCGCCCACTTTCGCCACGGAATCTGAGCCAACCTGTTCGGGCTGTGCGATCATTTTTGAGCACCGCACGATCCTCATCGCCAAGGCTTGATGATGTAAAGTTGAAAATAATGAACACCCGCCCACGAAGATGTTGAAGCCTCAAATGTATTAAAGCCTCAGTGTCGGTGAGACGTGGTCTGTGTTGCGTCGTCTGCAGGAAAAGCATGTACAACAATGCAATAACGACATTTTTTGCCAGGAGGACGATAGCAAAATGCTGTAAATTCACATTGATATAAATGCCGTCGAAAAAGTAAAAGTTGTTCTGCCCCTGCCCCTGGCCACCTGCTACGTCAAGAACGCATTAAAGCAAGTTGCGTCCTCATACAGATCCAGTAGAGCTGCGCATCTGTTTCCCAGCAGACCAGTGTCACTTGGTGTGCCTGATTTGGACACGACAAACTATTTTTATAAACAGCAAATATAGCAAAAAAACCGAGGGCCAGGTGTTTGGTTCCACATGTCATAAGGGACAGCCCATCGTCGTCAAGGTCGGTTAGATAGTCGTGCACGATGGTGTATGGATGTGTATACGTGTCTGGTCCTAGAACGAGTCATCCAAGCTGCATTATCAACCGCAAATATGTCTGGGTCTGGGAGATTGCGAGATAGAGATTTGTCATGCATGTCTAGCATGACTCTGAACTTTGTATTGCGCGGCCGCAAAGAGCTCCTCTTGCCTGTCATGCAAACACGCAGTTTCTCATGCGCCGGTGTACGCAACTCAGAACCACGGAAAAACTTGTCATGCTTGGCAGCGCATCAGAGTCTGCTCATCTTGCATCACGACAAATCTCCAGAACCAGACATATTTGCATTCGATATGCATACGAAATACGCGATGAAATCGCAAGAAGCGCCCTTGTGCCAGGCGACAGTGGTCGCGTTGACTTGTATACAGAGGTGCCCGTGCGCGTGCCCAAACAAGAAACTATATTTTCCGGCGTGGCGCTCGTGCTGCAAAACAAATTAGAAGCGCTTATACTGAAACATCAACGATTACGATGCCTTACTGACCATGACTTTATGCTATAGCCCTTTTCATCATCAGAACTAGGGTCGCCGGGACAAACAAGCAAATTCTGCTCGTAGAAAACTCTGCAAATTCAAAAATAAATAGTAAACCCTTCGTCGAATAACGCGCTCAAAGCAATGTAGCTCACATCCCAGACACGTATACATGGAACGGTCGATAGCACCTGGATCGGGTGGTCCACGCCTCGCTGCCCCAAACTCACACGAAGTGCAACTATTGAGAGGAAAAAACCCCCCTCCCCATATCAAAACGGATTTTGTGATGCTGGATTTGTGTACACAAATCAGCTTTGTATTGCAGGAAGGCATTGCAGCCAGTTCCCCAGGCTAGCTAGGGGCGTGTCGGTCTAGTTGTTCAGCATGGCAAACGGCCCCCCTTTAGGCCCAACAGCATGACAAATCGCCTCCATAATGGGGGCGAAGCTTTTGCCCTTGTCTTCTTGCAAGACAGATGTGATTTGTGACCTCAAATCAGCAACACAAATTTTCGGAAACGTGCCTTTTCGATATGGGGAGGGGGGATTTTGCCTCACAATAGCAACATACCGAAGTTTATCTGCGACTAACGGAAGAACAACCGGGGCTCGGTCATTCTCATCATAAATGCTTGTTGCATAGAAAAAACCATCTGCTCCCGCCGGTCTAGCGCTTGCAGGTGAAACCGTCGCCAGAGCTTTCTCGATCCCTGCCAGCATCCACTGAAAGCAAGTTTTCTGACACTCACTCTCAGGCGCGATAAGGTCTTCTAAACGTGGCAGGCTGACAGAGTTGGGCAGAGAAGCAGCACGGATGAAAGAGGGCATTACAATGAAAAATGCCCCCAGCCCAGAACTTGGGAGCATTTGCATCGCAAACTACCTCTCCAATGGAAATAGTCGCAGTCTTGCATGTATCAGCATCACAAATTTTCAATCGTGAACAGTGCAAATCTGTATTGCAAAAGATCCCAGCAAGAGCAGGGCTTGTCATGCAAGCGATGCTGTATACGACTACTTAGCACTAGACTCCGCATCAGAAAGATTCATAGTCCTTTCATGCAAGACAAAGAGTTTTCATTTGGAAACGTCGCATCACAAATTGAAATTATTGCAACTTTCTGGGTGGGTGCATTTTTCACTGTAAAAATTCGTGTGCAGCAGCAATGTCGACAAAATAAAGGTATAAAATTTGAAAAATCAACGGGAGAAGTTTTTGAGAAACTTCGTTTAGATTGTTGAAATGCCTGTTGAAAAATTATGTTGAAAATTACACCTGCTTGTTCTGAGCGATAACTTGGCTGCGTCCATCCGATAGGACGAGGAGATCGAGCTACACGCCATTATCACATGGTGACCCCTGCTGCTCTTGTTCAATTTTCCATTTCATTAGATCCGTACCAAGAACAACCTGCACGGTTTTGGCTTATTTCTGTACATCTTCTTCACAGAATCATTTTTTCTCACCCGGCGGACAGGCTCGAGGTTGACGCGAACAGGATCGAGGTCGACCAAGCACCATGGAAAAAGATCGGGCCACAGCGTTCGCCGAGTTCCCGCAGGTTGACGCTGAATAAGATGCATGGGCCCAACATTGACCCGAGCATCTTTTTCTTCAAAAAGGCGAACATAATTCTATCCGTATATTACAGCTAGAGATGTTGAAGTTGCGGCAAGTAGAGCGCGGCGCGTACTGATGACAGAACAAACCTTGTTCTGCGCTTAGTGAAATCGCACGAGAAAAATATGGACAAAATATTTAAGGAAAGAAGCCGGTGCTGGCACTTATGTGAGGTAAGAAATAAGAAATGAACTAAGTAGTAGACGACCGCGATATTTGCCTCAAAAAGGTGCATAAAACTAAAAGGCTGGCATTTCTGGGGTGTTAAATTATATATTTGCAAAAGAAATGTCTCATCACACAAAAGCAATTCGTTGAAACAGTGATCTTCACTGCAGGTCCACCCTTGACTGACATCTCGCGAAAACTTATCGCAAAACGACAATGACAGATCTGCGTATTTGTCCTACAGTTCGGTGATGGCGATATCAATCGAAGAAATGATCTCATCGAGCTTTCGCTCGGGGTTGCTTTGTCCCCCGAAGGAATACCAGGACTTGTACTACTTGACGCGAACAGGCTCGAGGTCGATCAAGCACCGCGCCACCTGCGGGAGCTGTAGATCCAGCACAACATGGCATAGTCGTCGGCCCAGTGCGTATCAAACCGTGGCTAGCGGCAGTGGTCAAAATACATAGCGCATAAGTTCTAGCGAGAAGTAGAACCTCGGCGGTGCTATTTTTTGGCTAAAAGTTACCAGTAGTAGCCTACTGATGTGCTGTCTAAGGTTGTTGTAGAATGGACTGCACAAAAATGAAATCAAGCTGCGCGCTGCGCTTGCGCGCACAACCCTGAATTATCGAAATTTTTTGCAATATTGCTTTCAAAATTAGCAAAGTGATGATAGAGTTAAATTTTTTCTATAAGAAGGTGCGGTTGTACATGCTGTTGCAAGGTGCGTTTATGTACATGCTGCTACTCGGGTTTCCAAAAATCGGACCTACAACGTTGTATCGAAGTATAGTATATGCACAACAGCTACTGCTGCGTCAGCGCCGAACAGCAGCTACTATACTTCGATTAGTTGTTCAAAGCTGTGATAGGTTTTTTGTCGAAACAACCTTTCCTATGTGCCCCGGCCTTGATGATAGAAGCACGTGCTGGCTTTCCTGCGGTTTAAAGAAATGCACATAGAAACGATCGCGTTCGCGCCACAATCGAGGAATAAGGCATTCTGCAATAAAAAAATCGTATACGTCGAAAGCTGGCGTGTATGCGTAATCTAATATCCTAGCTGGGATCATATTCTTTTCCGGAAAGATAAGGCCGCTAGCTGAAGGATATTGGCAGCAGCAGACATCACAAGTGCTATTATCAGGGTCCCGCAGGACCTGCAGCTCCATTTAGTCTGACCACGCTGAGCTGCACAGCAAATGTTATGCTGTCGAAGTCCAAAATGTAGTCGGTGCACCATCGAAAAAAGGGTCAATTCCTGCCTTGACCCTGCGAAAAAGGGTCGTTGCTGCTGTGCTGACAAATCTGCAGCTTGCATTCCCAATTTTTTCTCGGCTTGCAGCGAATATGCGTCATAACCGTCGGCGACTCTACGATGACAAAATGGACTTCCTCGGCGGTAACGTTCAGGACATCCCGTGTGGCGTCGAAGTCAGTGGTGTAATGCAGGGTCTCGCCGCCACTGCTGGAGGTAGAATGAACTCCACCGTCGCTGTATGCGTACCGCCCCCGAAATGTGCGCCTGTGCCGCAACGCTATGCGATCGCCCGTCTGGCGGCTGCGATCGCCCGCGGGACGAACACGGGCGTCAGGGTCATAATCGGGGTTCGAAACAAACAACCTCGGGTAGTATGCACTTGGATTATCCTCTCGCACGACTTGCTCCAGAAAGCGGGCCCGGGAGGTTGCGCTCATGTCTGGCCCATGTAATGATCCGTCATCTGCCCAAACGTCGTTGTGCACAGCAATGAAGGACTCGCCCTGCGCACTCAGGCTGCCACCGTGTGGAAGGGTGATTCCAGCAGCGCTTGTCGGGGGGCTTTCGGTCGCCGTTCCTGCCTCGTGACCCTCCAGGCGGGGGCCAACGGTCCCACCTCGTTCGCGCGCTCCTTGGATGAGCGGCCGGAGCTTTTCGCGCAAAATGTTCGCAGAAAGCCAGCTCGGCATGACGTCGCCGTGGATCATCACTGCGTGCGCGATCTCGTCGTCCGGAGCCTCTATCCTGAGTAAAAACGTACCCACACCAGAGTTGTAATGCAGATTTGCAAAGACAGGAAGACTTGTAATGCGCATCCCCATGAGAGCCATTTCCAATCCTGTTTTGGAATTTGTGATGCTGTGAACAGGACGAGCAGATGAATCTGTGATGCGGCTGCACTTGCTGACCTGCACTACACTGCATAGTGCAACTTGTCATGCGTGACTCACAAAACTCCTAGGTTTGTGTTGCAAAATCCCCATCCTGACTCTGGTGTGGGTACGTTTTTACTCAGGATAGCCTCGGCGAGCAGGTCATAAAAGTCTTCCACCGTACAAGAAAACAGTCCCTCTGCTACGAAAGGATAATGGCCGGGGGCTCTATCGGTGCCAGCAGTCGCTTTATTGTACCAGTTTTGCAAATAATTCTTCGTCTTATTTTCCACAAACTTCCGACTCGCCTTGCTTGCGGCAGCAAGGCTTGAGGTTGCGTCAGTCCCCTCTGGGCCTAGACGGTGTTTCCGCTTCAGAACTTTCTGCAGCATGGTGTCTCTCGTCGCGGTGCCAAGATGAGCATCGGTAAGAACAGCTCGGCTTCCTCGTGTACCACTATCGGCACTGTGGCCAGCAGCGCGCACGATTTCCGCAGCTTGCAGCCACTTCTGAGAAACCGCCGGACGGATTGTGCCCGGGTCGGCCGCCACCACAGCCGCCTGCTTGGTCTTTGCGTGGTGGCTTTCGAGGTTTTCCACAGTTGCTTTGCGGTCGGCTTTATGGAATGCAAAAATGTCTGGGTCTGGAAGAGTGCATGTTTGTCATGCTTGGCTGGCATGACTCTTAAATCTGTCATGTACTTTACCCAAGAGCCCCATTTTTCTGTCATGCAGAAACGCAGTTTGTCATGCAGAAGAGGCAACACCTAGAAGCAAGCTCAAAAACTTGTCATGCTGAGCCAGGACTTGCGGCCTCCTCATGATACGCCACCCAGCATCACAAGTTTCCAGACCCAGACATATTTGCAATGCATAGGCTTTTTGATCGAAGGAGCCCGACGCGACCCCATTGCCGGCCAAGAACGAATAAACCCGGTCCCAGGCGTATCAAATGTGAAAATGTCTGGGTCTGGAAGAATTCATGTTTGTCATGCTTGTCTGGCATGACTCTTAAATCTGTCATGCACGTTACCCAAGAGCTCCGCTTCTCTGTGATGCAGAAGCGCAGTTTGTCATGCAGAATAGGCAACACCTAGGAGCTCTGAAACTTGTCATGCTGAGCCAGCATTTGTAGCCTCATCATGAGACGCTACCCAGCATCACAAGTTCCCAGACCCAGACATTTTTACTTTTGATAAGGCGTAGTCTGGCAGGGGACCTTCCGCGCCGCTCGTGCTGGGTGTCAAAGAAGTACTGCTGTCGTGTTCGAGGACCACATCGTCGGTAGCTTTGGGAGGTGCGCCTGCACCAGCTCCCGCAAGAGACTCCTGCGCCGTTTGAAGGTTGTTCACCTGCTGCTGCCCGTCAGTGCTTCTGGTGTGCGACGAGTCGCTGGAGGCCGATGCGGCGACCAGGACAGATTTGGTGCTCCATAGAAGCAGGAGCGCCCGAGATGCCAGTGCGTGCTTCATTATTTTTGAATCTGCAAGAGACACGGGCTTCAGGCGTGTGTATGTTGCAGTCGAATCAATGATGAAAATGAAATTGTACGCAGCAAACTACTGGGACTAGTAGATAAAAGGAAAAACAAAATTTTTCAGCAAGGCCGACAAGTTAAAGTTTTCTAAATCAAGTACATTGAATCTTGATATCGTGTGCGGAAATGTCGAAAATATTGTATCAACTAAGAAGTAGAAATTGCATTGTTTGTAGAGTTTGAAATAAAATATCGTATAAAAAAAACATGGAAGATGAGGTTGAAAAGCTTCGATGCAGCTAATCTTCGCCTGTTGAAAAAAATATTGCATTTTGACGTTCCAGCACTGGAAACATAAGCAAAAAATCCCGCTACAACTTCTACACGCTGACCAGCCCATGCTGGCGCTTGTTCCAACTTGCATTTTTGTAGATCCACATCCGTATTTCGACAGCTACAAGCCTGATTGTGCAGTCTTTAATGAAGTCTACAGTTCCATCTTTATCCCGATGAAAATATTAACCGACGCTTGTTCGTCATGTTGTAGTAGGAGTAGTTTCTTCATGATCTTCCCATTACTTGGAGGAGTTTCAACCGCATCTAGCGTTTTTACAACGTGCTAGTACAACAACCTCTTCGTTTTGGTTTTTGATCCAGCTTTCGTGATAGGAAAAGAAACTTTGTGGTACTTCTTTCAGTCGCCGTCACAAAACACAGCGAGCTCGTCGCAACGAGGTGGCTGCAAGCGTGCTGCAGTGGTCCCTCCAAATGATAAAAGGGGGCTGTAATAAGAGCTGGCATCTGTATTGCTGATTTGCTTTTCATTGTCCGAAACGGAAACGGTTCTCCTTGATACCAAAATGAAATGTAAAAATGTCTGGGTCTGGAGGACTGCATGTTTGTCATGCTTGTCTGGCATGACTCTTAGATCTGTCATGCACGTTACCCAAGAGCTCCATTTTTCTGTGATGCAGAAACGCAGTTTGTCATGCAGAATAGGCAACACCTAGAAGCTCAGAAACTTGTAATGCTGAGCCAGCACTTGTGGCCTCATCATGAGACGCCACCCAGCATCACAAGTTTCCAGACTCAGACACTTTTACATTTGATATACCAAAATGACGCAAGGGTCTTTTGCCTTAAGCAGCACGACCAGCTGCAGTGGCAATTGTTAATAGACTCTCAGTCACATCTACTTCTCAAGGGCAGGATAACATCTCAGCAACTTGCTACTGTCATCCGAAACACAATACATATAAAATTATTGTCGGTGCAGCATATTAAATAGCCCAGTACGACCTCGTACAAGGGCATATTTTCATCTTGACGTTCAGGTCAGTAAAGACTTCAGCCCCCACTTTGCTGCACCCGGTTCATGTGCTGATTTTCTATCTGCGCTACCATTTTATTTCCCAGCTTTTCCTCTTCTGGGTTTTTCTCTTCCTCGCG